GCTCTGCCCCGCGCTGCGCCCTGGAGGTGTCTTTTTTAACCTGAGCTTTCTTCCCCGGTGTTAAAGCTATTCCCCTAACTCTCATTCAGATATCATTTTGTTTTGGTTGGTTGATCGGTTGGTTGTTTTTTCGAGATTGTTTTTTCGGGATTGCTTTTTCGGGATTGCTTTTTCGGGATTGTTTTTTCGGGTTTTTGTTGTGTTGTTTCCTTTTTAACTTCATAACATATTCTCTCAACCCGAAAGGTGTTTTAAGAGTTACAAAATAGCGTTTTTCTCGTGTCTTTTTTGAGAGCAGGGAGGTGTTTTCTCCGGCATACTTCAAACTCCGAGCGTGCTTTCTAGTACTGGCACCCAAACGGCTCTAAGCTTCCTGCTCTTGTGGGTGGTTAGATTTTAAACAATGCCCTGTAGACTTGCATATGACTCTCTGAGAATCTCTGATATTTAAATAAGATCCATTTTGACATGTGACTAAGCGGCAGTGCTGCCAAGGGATCCAAAAAGCAGCACAACAATTTTGCCTCAAATCGTGCTAAGCCGAATCCACCAAGGATCAAGTTTATTTTGAGCAGATGGTGGAAGATTCTAGGCTTAAAAATTCCATTCTATACTCCTGCTTGGCTGGTAAAAATATGTGCTGGAGATTCATATTGCCTGAATCAATTCAGACCTTTCTTTTATCAAGAAGAAGTTATAGCTTTTCTTTAATCTAAATGCATCATTTAATTAATCTTCTGTACTTTTCTATTAATGACTTTTTATTTGCTGATGTGTATCTCATATGGCATGAAATCATTACAATTATTTCTATATTATAGCTTGATTTGCAGCCCCATTTTTTTAAAATGAAAAAATTACTTTTCTCTTTCAACGTGGAGTACGTAATTTATTTATTTTTTTATCTACAAGTAAAATCAGATAGTGAAATTGCTAATGAACTTGTGGCAGTGATCAACTATGAAAAGAAATATCGTGCTTTTAGCCCTTGTGATTTTAAATATATCTACAAAGTGGCTTATTGTAGAACAAATGAAATATTTCTGGAAAGGTGAAATTAACTAAAGTTTGTAAAGTCAGTTCAGTTTGAGAAAATATGAAAGCACTGCTCTATAGTATAGAAAGTGAGTATTATAACACTTTACAAAAGTTCACATAACTGGGAAATATAGCAAACACTGAGGGAAACATTTTTGGGGTGTATTTGTGTACTTAAAGGGCAACAGTTTATGTTTGAGGATGTTTAGAAGTCAGTAGTCCTTTTGGTTTGTTCTTTTTTTCTAGCTCTCTCTTTTGCTTCTGCTTTTTAAAACCACAAAATGTCTGAAGTTAAGCAAAGGAAAAAAGGTATTTCTTCATCCAAGCCCTATGAAGGTTCACAAAAGGTTGAGAAGCACAGCAGTTATGGCAAGTTGGCAAGTCCCAGGACCAGCAATAATAATCGAAGCTCCTTTTGGATGGACTCGGGGACAAGTTTAAGCATAATTTCCCTTGCTGTTTGCCTGGTGGTGACCTGGTAGGTAACCCTTGAAAATGGATTTTAATATTTTCTTCTGTATGGTCTTCAGCCCCAGGCTGTATGATTTATATTTGAGTACAGCGTTTGGGTTAAGTGACTATAGAAACTTGTCAAAGCTAGACGGATCAAGAGAAGAATCACAATATTCTCAGGCATGGAAACATTGGAGTTATTACAGAATCTCGATCTGTTCTATCATGTTGAAAGTTTAAAAGGTGCCTTGCTCATGTAAATACCTTCTTTGGACACTACATCTAACTGTGAAGAGCAACTTAATCTGACAGTTCGTACAAGAAGGCTCATTTGGCAGGTGTTAAATAATTGAACAGCAGAAGTGAAACAGTTTTCTGTGGTTTGCTTAGCAGTGTGATAAATTGGTTATCAAGTGGAGTCTTCAAGTAAAGGTAAAATACCTTTGTTAAAGGTGTTAAAGAATATGTTAGTAGCATCAGAACTTTAGTTCCCTTAGAAACTGAGCTTCATGTAGAAATGATATGATGGAGTTCTTAAAAATCTAGGGCAACAAATTAGGCCAGATTATTACACTCTAGAGGGCAATCTGAAAATGAAGGTAAAATTTGTTCTTATTTTAACATCACCCAGATCCTATTACCTAAATCTCTGTGCAATGGAATGACATAGTAGAATAAAATTATTAGTGATGCTTCTGCTTCCTGTATTATGTGTATCCATTTATGTCTCTTGTGCATGTGTCTATGTATGGCTGCATTTTAGCATTTTAGCTTTTATTGCCTAACTTAATCTTATAGAATATTGTGTATATATTTAAACTTCTAATTGATATTCAATATACACATAAATATCCAATTACGAAAGCATAGGTATTTGAAGTAAACTCTATTGTTCTATATAAAATTGTTCATACTACAAGAGGACCCTTGCATAGTCTACAAAAAACCTTGTTTGGGGATTAATAAACATACAGCGAATTTCAGGATTTTTTGCTTGGTTCTCTCATTGCCTTTTTAACTGGACAAAGTGCTTACAGTTCACAAAGCTCCCAAGTTCACAGTAAACAAATCTAGAATACGTACAAAGCACAGGATTGAGATCTCCACTGTCTGTTCAAAGCTAGTGTCATCGTAAGAGTAGCTACACAGGCTTTGCCCCCTTATGTTCTTGAATGATTACAAGCAAATGTTAACCAGCCTTTCTAAAGCCCAAGGCTTCTGGGCATGATTTTGTGAGGCTTTGCAAGAAAGTCCAAATATTTTTGTGTGGTTTATTTCCACCGGTTAAACAGTACTTTATTGATTAAATATATTGTAAGGCAGTGCATTACAAGTATGTAACAGCCTCCTCATGTCAGCACTCTGATTGGATGTTTTTCCTGTTGGAATGGCATACAGAGTAAAAATGGAGACATCTATGGATGTTTCCTTGTTTTCCTACCACTGTCGGAAGATAAGTCCTGTATCAAGACAAATCAATTTCATTAAATCTCTTTTTTTTTTTTCCTCTCATGTATTGATCCAGCAAATTCTGTGAACACAAATCCCTCCAGTAACAGATTGCTGTGAATCAGGTTCTGGAACACTTCATATATGCTAATTGTGTGATTATGTTTTCTGTTCATTTCCTTGCAATTTGCAGGTTTCTATTTCAGCAGTCAGGTCGATTTGCTGACATGGAAAGAAAGTACCATTTCTTGCAGCAGGAAGCTGAAAAGTTCCCAGATGTGGAAAATAAAGTCAACTTAATTTCTGAAAAGGTAATTAACAACATCTTAATTGGATAATCTCTGGTGAACATTTGCCATTGTTTCGCATTGTTGTTATTTTGTCGGTTTAACTGACAGTTTTAAAATAAATTCTCATGTGTTCTACTTGCCTGTGAATAGGCCTCTAGAGAATATTTCATGTGACAAAACATGTCAATCCATGCCATTGTTCAAGTGTGTGAATATGGTGGTTGTATCTCAGTGTTGGTTTTTTTTAGACACTAAACTTATTTTAAGAACTTAGGTTTATGCACATCCTTCATTCTCCCAGTACTGTTTCATGTATGATTCTAACATACATTGATTTGAAGAAAATTTTCAGGCATTTTTTTGGTATGGTTTTTCTGTTCTTAATTTTATTAAATAGACATGGAAGTTGTTTTGTGTTATAAATGCAGCTTGAGTCTTCTGAAAGTATCCTGCAAGAAGCTGCCTCATCCAGCTCTGTGATGACTGAGTTTGAGCAGGAAGTATCTTCTCTTCATAACATCATAAATGATATTCAGAACAATGAACAGACTCTCTCTCTAAAGATGCAGAGCATTAATGAGAAATTCCAGAACATTACAAATTCCTGGAGAAGAAGCTTGGATGAAATGAACACAAACACTAGTGGTTTAAAATCTGAAGCAAAGTTTATACATACAGAAGTTACTTCCCAAATTAATGAAGTCGACCAAAGAATTAAATCCCTTTCAGAAAGAGTGAGAGATCTGGAAGACAGCACAGCCAGAAATATTAGAACACTAAAAAAGCAAGAAGCTGATGAATTCTCTAGAGTTGAACAAAAGTTGGACTTGCACGCAAAGGCAGTTGAAAAGCTAGAAGAAGAACAAGATAGTCTGGTAGCCAAGGACACAGACCTGAATCAGAAACTGGCAAACTATGAACCTAAAATTGAGGAGTGCAAGACCTATTTGCCAACAATTGAAAATGCTATTCACTCTATTCTTAGATTGTCAAGTGAATTGATAGGTATGGAGAAAAAGATACAGGACTTGACAACACAGCTTGATACTGTGGAAAATGATATGTTGAGAACTGTTTCTGATACAATGGCAATGGAAAAGGTTCTTGAAGGCATCCAGCACAATGGCAGCATACTGAAACTGCAGCAGGAAAGAGCTGGTGTACAAGTGGTGCCTGACACAAATGGATCTTCAAAAGAAAAAGAAATTACTCCTGAAAGCTATAACTTAGAAAATGACCAGAATGGGGATAAGTGAATTTGGACTTATGTTTTTCATTGGTGAAAACACACTTTAATTTATTATAAATAATGTGACTTCAACATGTGTTAAGGGTGACTGAAATATTGTCATTAGTTTAAACAGGCATTGGGTCAGCCTAAGAGATGAACTTATAATAAAGAGGCTAGAGACCAAGAAATACTGTGTTGAAAAAGGAAAGGAGTATTTTCTGAAATTAAGGATTTTCAGCTTATTTATTAAAAGTTCCTTTTTATTAAAAAGGAATTTGAAGCAAAGTATTTAGATCTAAGAGGGGAAAAAGTCAAATATAGAGACATCAGACTCCAATTTATAGTTCATTTTCATTTCTTAGTTTGTTAATACTCTTTGTATTTTTCATGGACTAGTAGCACAGTGAACAATTAATCACTTGTCTCTCAGTAGAGACACATGTACCTTGATTTAATGTATTGTGTACCATAATGGTTTTGTGCTTAGGGTATAGACTTCTCACTGTCAGAGTTGCTCCTGGGAGCTACGTATTTTATTATGTACAGGAAAGCACAAAGTACAGCTGAAACTGAAGCTCAGATACAACAGCATTACAGAAAACATTAGTAAAGTGCCCCCTATTGAGAACCTTGTCTTGTTCTGGTATTCATAAGCAGCTGGTATTTACATAGCAGCTGGTGTTACATTTTGTATCTTTGACCCCATACAAATACCTTCCTTAGACCTCATTCCCAGCATTTTCAAACTTCCTAAAATCACTGGCATAGTTTTGTTCTGCCATCGAAGTGATTGAACCACAAATAGACTGAAGTTCTGATTAACATACATTCTCGTTAGAGTCTTCTTCCGTCATTTAATTTACTGGTTTGGTGTGATCAATCACTGTATTAGTCTGGGGGTTGGGTTTTTTGGTGGGTTGTTTGTTTTGGTGCTGTTAGAAACAAATGTTAACATTTTCTTCTGTAGGAAGTTCTCTGTTAGGCATTACATAAGTCTGGTATTGCTTTGCATTTCAAAAGGAAAAAAACTTAACAGTTTCACTGACATTGTTTCCCAAAGTTTGCTGAACCAAGAGCTGCAAAATTCATTAATGAAATCCATGGATTTACATACCTGGGGCCAGGCAATATCCAGTTTATCTATAGATCTACCTACACATGACATAATACTACCTAACAGACCTGACAGCTCTTCATTGAAGTCTGGATCTCAGGGACACCATGAATTTGTGTCTACAGACTTACATCCTGATAAATTTATATTTCTGAACTCAAGACAGGAGATTGCTCAGTAGTGACTAGATGAACCTACAACATTTATGGCTTCATCAGACTTACATTATTCTGGTTTTGTATGTTCATTTCTCTAGAACTCTACTGAAATCTTCACTCAGCAGGTAATGCTGCCCATTCAATTGACTATTGAACCAGCATTTCTCAGTGTTATAAACTGTGTCAGTGTCATATATTTATGTATAAATTTGTCTCTTTACAGTCATATTCAATAAAAATATATTGTAGTGGATTTCCCAGTACCAGTGCATAATCTAATTCAAAATAAACTGCTCCTCCAGAAAGGGACAAAGTAAATGCTTTTCAGTGTTCAGTGTTCCCTTAAGAAAAACTAGTATATAAGGAAATGTTTTTTAAATGCTTTTCACAAGTGTGTTCCAGTTCTAGTGTTTCGTATCTTTTTTGGGGAAGGGTGGCTAAGTTATCAGTGGTATCTTCCCCAGTTTAATGTCTTTCATCAACCTCAACCCTATTGAAAGCTGAATGTACACAGGATTGAACAGGAAGTCCTCATCCTTAGAGGGCATTAACTAGGAAACAAGCACAACTCTCCACAACCTGTATTTTAGTCTTTTGCTTTTGAGCAAACAGTTTTGAGCTAGTGAGGAATGACCAACGCTACCAGAAACTTAGAAATATTTGTTTCTTTGGTGATATTTTAGTAGTGTGCAGAAAAGGATTAGTGTCAAAACTGATTTTGGCCTCTTAGAACATGTTTCAGCTTGCACATTGGGTGTTTTTTTCTCTCCAAGTTCCACCCTGACTGACTGGGGATTGAACAGGATAGTATCACTCAGGTATTTTCCTTACTTCCTCTCAAATTTGAAAACCAAGAGCCAAACAAATTAAAAAAAAAATGAACTAGCAAATCCATGTGAAAATCCAGCGGTAGCATGAGTGTTCCCTCATAAAAGTAGCTTTTATGGAGGCTTAATACAAATATTCCTGTAAATGGAAAGAAGATTGCATTTGATGACTTGTGTTTTCAGAGGTCACATTGGAAGGTCATACAGCACCTTCCTGTAACAGAAAAAGAAGTGACATTTGTTACGTGTACTGACAGGAAATGCATATACTGACTGGCTGTGTTGCAACAGAAGTTTATTTCCTAGAGACAGTGTTTGCACTCACTTTGAGTATCAGGATAGTCAGATACTTTCTTAAAGTATAGTTTTAATTTTGATGTGATTTGTTAAGCTAGAAATGTTTTTATTTGTATCATTCTAGTGTGAAAAGACCTGGGATGTAATGGAACAGCTGGAAGACCTTAAACTAATTTCTCACATTAAACATCTGCAGGAAGATATTTATATGATGAAAACATGGTCTAGCAACATACTTAAAAAACAAGAGGGACTGCAGAAGAATTTAACAAGCCTTTTCCATGCAGTTTCAAGTATGGACCAGAATGCGGCGTCTGCGGTGAAAAATATAACATTGACAATTGTGACAGTAAAAACTGACATCAGGCGCATTTCAGGCCTAGTCTCGGAAATGACTGCGCTGACAGAGTCTTTGCAAGCACTAGAAGATAAAGTAGAAACAGGTGAAAAGACGACAGTAAAAAATATAGGTGACCTCCTTACCAGTAGCATCGACCGAAGTACAAAAATCCAAAGCTTGGCATCCAGTAACGCAAGAAAAATCGAGGACATTAAAGCAGCACTGTCAGAGCTAAGGAGTGATTTCAGCAAGCATTCCGATAGACTTCTGAATCTTGAAGGTGACAGAGCTAAAGTTCTGAAGACAGTGACGTTTGCAAATGATTTAAAACCCAAGATGCACAAAGTTAAAAAGGAGTTTGCCTTCTTGGAGCCATTAATAAATGACCTAACACTGAGAATAGGAAGATTAGTGGAAGAGGTTCTACGACGGGAGAAGGAAATTGCTTTACTGAATGAGAAACTGGCCAACTTGACAAGAGTTCAAACTGAGATCAAGGATGTGAAAGATGAAATAACCAAGATTTCAGACATGAATTGATTGTTGAAAGACCACTGCGTAAAGATCAGTGTTTGAGGAGTGTTAACTCCATCACATGGAGTACTAGGAAAACAGACAGTATTTAAAGGCTTCATTTGGGAGCACACCGAAACTTGAAATTTGTTCTCTTCCTTTCAAAAGGACAGGAAAAAGTAATACTAGTTTCAAGGGAAAAGCTATAATGTGAGCAAAAAGCATGTCTCTGTGTGTTTGTCCTTCTGAAGGATGACAGATGTATTTAATAAAGTGCTTGTTTTGTACAATAAAGCAGCATGAATGTTCTTAGCTTTAGAGGTTGCTTTCAAACAGCAGTAGCAATTTGCCACAATGTATTCCCTCTGATTTTTGTAAACTATAGCAGTTTCTTTTTATAGTAATATTTAATGAGGTAAATGCAGTGAAGCAGGCAATGCCCAGAAATATTGCTGATGCCTTGCCAAAAGTTTGTGACACAATTAGATTTTGTGGGAGGCTTTATAATTGTAACTTTTAAATACTGTGCAGCACTGTTGTCTTTAAAACTCAGAACTCTGTGGGACAATGCTTTGAAAGACCTACTAACCCTGCTGATGGTTTTATCCCAGTGTCACAGTGTCTCTTCAGGAATCCTAACAGTGTTATTCATTCATTACTTCTTAGCCTGTAAAATATTATAGTAAGCAGCAGAATTAGCAAAAAGAAACTACTTATGTCCCAAAAGGCTAGACCAGTATGAGCCACTGGCAGTATTTCTGTGGTGAAAAAGAAGAGGTTAAGAGATCTGAGACATTTGAAAAAGCAGTATAAAAATTACTACAGAAACCAGTTATATAGCACTCAGAAAATCCCAGTCTTTCATATATCGAGAAGTGTAAGTATACAGTAAGGCCTTTGTAACTTCTCAGTTGTTTAGTTGGTCATTACTGAACATCTTGCAGCTATTAGACTTTTGATTGTATGAAAGATAAAACCATTCCTCTCCCTCAATCTTATCCTTATTCAGCATTCCATCTCTTCTGGCCTGCTTCATGTTGCTGGTCTTTTGTAACATCTTTGTTTCATTGCCTTTAGTCAACCTCAAATATTTTATTTACAGTTTTCCTCTTTTTGGTATAAGTCCATTCCTACCTCCCACTTTGCTTTTATCCCTTTCCTGTCCACCTGACAGACCACAAGAATAAAACTGTGAACAAACAAGTTTTCCTAGAAAGCAGCCACAGATGCCCTACCAACCACTGTCCCTTTGTTCTTTCACACAGTTCCTAAGTGAGCACCAGGAAATAACCAAATGGCATCTGAAAGACACAGAAAAATGAAAGAACAGCCAGAATAGTCAGCCATGCTAAAGCATGTGTGTAATACCTGAAAAAATGTATGTACACATGCACATACACCTTAAGAGTTTTGGGGTTACACAGTAAATAGATCTCATTTGTATATTAACGCCTGTTCTTCACTGAATCCACCAACCCTGTTTTGGTTTTTTTGTGTGCAAGCCCATGTTAGTAGTGTCAGGGAGAGCACTCAGCACAACAAACTTAGCTGCTGAAGGCACATTGGTACAGTGAAGCAAGAAATCCACCCTACGTGTCTTCCCCTGTGGTCCGTGTGATGCTGTTAACAGTCACCAGTGCATTAATGGCATCATGGGCTACAGTAATTTATGTTGTTTTCAACTTTATGAATGCATCATTTGTGGTCAGTAGCCAGTAAAAATCTGGAGAGGCAGAACTGGAGAACCAGTAGAGCACTGTCTACACAACTGATGTGGAAAATACATTCCAGCTGCAGTTAATCAGAGCAGCCTTGACACAGCAGAAAGCTCTGTCTGCATGAAAAGAGCACACTCACTCCCTCCTTGGAACAGCAACCAGGAAATAAGCCAGAATAAACAAATGGATTTCACTTTCAACCCCCAAATGAATAACCTTCAAATTCTAGAACACATCTAGCAGTGAAAAGCTGAGCATAGAGTCCTGTGCATAGTCTCCATGGGAAGTTCAGCATGTGAAAAAAATGTTACAGGACCATTAATTTCCCTTTTCAAGGTATGCAGACCACCCACCTCTCCTTCCCAGGAAGTGCAGGTCTAAAGCATTATTGATCCTTTCATAAATTTTCCTTGCTGCAAGCAAGAGAAAAAGTTGAAGTCACAGAGGTAAAGTTTACTTGGAAAAAAGCATGTTTAACAAATCTCAATCTAAAGCTGACACAAGCACTGTACTGTCCTCAGAAGTAAGGCAAGCAATCAGTATTCTCCCAGAGTCTGTACAGGTGTTACAAATCTCTGTTTTCCCTTCAAGACACAACTCCACTGTACTAAAAATTTGAAGTTTTAGAGTAGCTTTGTAACTACACTGCTCCAAGGGCAGAGGCAAAGCTCTTTCTACAGTGACAAAGGTGAGGCAGAGAGTGAGGTATTTTTTAAAGATTTAAAGCAGATTGCTAACTTCAGCTCCCTGCTCTGGCACTGTCAGTGGTGGGGAGACTATCAGCTCAGTAACCATCCCTTAGCTCATTTCTAGGGTCACTCAGTGATACTCTCTGCAATTTTATCAAGTGATTGAGAGAGTCAAGTAATAACAAAAATTATAGCTATGCTTACTAAAACAGATCATCCCATGGAGCTCAACCTGTAGTGATGCCCAAGACATCTTTGCTTTTAGTTTGTAGGTACAAAACTGGCCAATTAATATTCTTGCCAGCAACTTGCAAGGAAAAGAAACAACCCAAAAGTCAGCAACAGCATTAAATGATCAAGGATGAAAAATTAAATGAGCAAAACAATCCCAAACTATTAAAACCTACTTTTAGACACCAGAACATCAGCTCAGCTCAGCCAAGAATTTCCTGCTAGCAACATGTTTGATCCCCATCACTCAGAGTTACAATTGTGTTCTGTTAACAAGGCCATGTAGCTACTAAGCTCATCTACCCAAGGTACTCGTATTTGCTATAAAAAAAGCAGATGTTTATTGTTTTCACTGTGAACTACATCATTTCTATGTAGAAATGTAAATGAATTACAACTATTTGTATTATTACAGCCCATTTTAAAATATGCAACAAACATTTCAGCAAGTATCAGCACATTCGATCTGTACAACCTGGTACAAACACTGTGTGTGAATGTTGTTATTCCAAATTTCCATAGATGGTATGTTCTAAACCAGAAAGCTCATCTGAGCTCCAAAACCAGCACGAAAGCACGTTTTCTCCCTCAGAAAATATACACAAGCAGCATATACATAATCTGTTTTACAAAGCACTTCGGGGTTTAGTGATGGGTCTGGAGTTATCCAAGTTCAAAATGCAGTGCTCTTTTTTGATACAGGACTTCCCTTGTAATGGAAGTGCAATCCATTGAGAGAACTACTGTTCCCCTGCCCTATCTTCTCAGCCTTTGGCAGACGTACCAGGCATTAGGCAGAAAGAAGTTACCAACAACAAAACCTTTTAAATGCATTTTAATACTACATTTTTCCCACTGAAGCTTGTTTAAAATACCAGCAGCAGGTAACCCTTTAAGCAACAATATTTTATATGTCAAACCTTTTCTGAACAAGCCTCTGGCTGAATGGTAATGAAGGCAGCAGCTGCAAGGCAATTCTCTCCCCCTCTTGGGTTTTCCACTGAAATGTAACACTGTAAGAAGCACTCAGTGTATCTTTCCCTTTCTCAGTTACAGAAGGGGAACCACTGGCTGCTTCTTGTAGTCTTAGCTCTGATCTACCTTGATAAAAGTATCTGTGCATCTTTGAAAAAATAGTTTCAGGTCTACCCTTGAGCCATGAGAAAATGGACTTAAGGTCCTCTTATTACTGCAAGTATTTAACAAGTGCACAAACTCGACCCAACTCTGGGGGAAAATTGTGCGATTCTGCTCCACATATAGAATGACAAAAAATGATCTTGAGAAATTTAGCTTAGCATTGGATTACCTGACAATCAGGCTAAGCTTGTCTCACTCTTCTGCCAGCCTTAAAATTTGACAAAAGTGCTTCACTTTCCCCAGGATTAAAAGGAACTTGAGATGTTTCACAGCAAAGAAAAGACTACTGAGTTAAGACACGCCTTTAAAGAAACTGATATTCAGTACACAGAAGCGATACCATCTTTTCTAACAAGTTGCACCACACACACAACTTCAAAAGCTTCAACGGTCTTGGTACAAGATAAGTAATAGTAATGGCTCTTCTCCAATGAAGCTCTTTAAGAACATTTAATGACTCAATAATTTCAAAGCTTTCCACTCATAACAGGGGAAGATGTACGTATACTTTTATCATTAATTTTCATTCAACACCAAAGTACTTGTACGAATGTTTTGTTTAGACCTAGGGTAATTGCCTTTGCTGTGTAATGCACTTAGGTAACAGCCACTCTAAGAGTGCTTTTACTGTCACGGTGACGGGGAAGTACAGCACTTTTCGAGTTTACTCCACATTCTGAAAGGCAGCAATTCAAAATAAGGCCCAGCATATTAATTTAGCATAAGCATCTGAAATCTTGGAAGTTGGAGGGTTTTCCTAGGGCACGAGAAGCTCAATGCTATGCAAAACAATAGTAAGAACATCAGACAAGATGCAGCAGTCAGTGTATTTATGCTATTCCAACGACACCTGCTTTAATTGTCCCTCTGGCTCTGAAGTACAGAGGAAGGAGCACTACAACATACGTGAGTACCAAGCTAAGCTCAGTTTCATCAGCTCACATGCTGAAAGCCAGCATATCCACAGTTTTGCACAAAAGACACTTCAGCTCCAGCTCCACTAAGTGAGCAAAGTAGTACCAGAGAGGATGAAGTGACTACCAACTGTGGGTTATTGACCAGCTGAAGGCAGCATGATCACCCTTCAGCAAAACACTGGCATAAACAAATTAATTGCCTTAAAAGAACATTGCATGATTGTCTCCTCTTGCATGCCTAGGAACCCAGATTTCTTCACATCAAGGTCCAAAAAACAAATTGGTATGGCTCCTTGCAGTGCAGAAGTGCATGATTCAACCTAAAATCAGCATTAAACCAACTCAGAAAAAAATATAATAAAACCCTTCAGCAAAACACTGGCATAAACAAATTAATTGCCTTAAAAGAACATTGCATGATTGTCTCCTCTTGCATGCCTAGGAACCCAGATTTCTTCACATCAAGGTCCAAAAAACAAATTGGTATGGCTCCTTGCAGTGCAGAAGTGCATGATTCAACCTAAAATCAGCATTAAACCAACTCAGAAAAAAATATAATAAAAAACAACAGGTAAGTGTAGGGTAGGGAAAAGGGGGTAAGTTTTTCAAATTCTAGAAGACATTTTTATTTGACTGTAAAGCTGAAGTAAGCTTTTAGTGGTCACATATATTTAAAACTCTTCATTAACACCAGCTTTTCTTTTGTTAAAGGTAGAAGCTACAATTTGATTCCACAGGACAACCAGAAGGACCAAGTTCTTTGGTGCAGTTCAAAGTCAAGAGAAGCAGAAATTAATCAAGTAAGCAGAAGTTAGTTAAGCTGGTATGACCACCCCAAAGCAGAAAGAGCTCTAGTATGTATAAGGTTCCTTTTATCTCTGTGGGGACAATGATACTATGACCAGGATGCCCTGTGTCATCTCAGCCATTCAGGAGTTCAGCCACTCTCCAGTAACAGCTCAGTATAGGCAAATGATCAGGGGACTCAAAGTGCAAACGACTGCAGTTACTTTGTGCAGCTGTGCAAGGACAGGTTCTTGGCACTTCTCTGGAAACAGTGAAAGCCTAGTTCTGTTACAAGTGGAAGAGTAACACTTCTCTAGTTCCTAAAGTGTAGAACGGGGTCATTCTTTTTGTAATTTTGAGGGGGTGGGGCAAGGGGGAAGCAGGGAGAGTACTTGAGGTATTTGCTGCTATGAAATGAAGCTTACATATGCAGTAGTAAACAGACACTAAGCACTCTGTTTCTCATTTATTTCAGGCAATGACAGTGGTAGAATTTAAACCCTCATGTGAGATGAGGGCACAGCCAATAATGACATCGTATAGTTTGTTTTCTACATAGTCAAATATATAAAAGTTTCATGAAACTCATCACTGGGACAGCCAGCAGTCAGTCCATGAGTTGTCTATTCAGTTAGACCAAGCTTCTTCTTCAGAGATTCTGGCATTTCAGGTGGAGGTGGGCGAGGAAGTCTGAAATAAACCTTGACAGAATCGTAGATGAACCACTGTAGTGCAGTCAGGGTACCAATCATAATGATACGAGCAAACAGGCCTTTCCATACACCTGCCGAGCAAAACATAAAACATGAGTAGCATAAAATGACAGGGGAAAAAAGAAATCCTCCCCAACACAGCACAAACACTTGATCCAAATATACATGAAAGTGAGGATTTACCTTTGAATCCAAGCCTCTTAAGAACCTGCGAAGCAGAGCTGCCCTTTTCTTTGTTCAACACAGACACCACGGAGTCAGCAGGATGGGAAACGATTGCACAGAACACACCAGCTGAAAGAGTAATTTGACATTAGCTCTGGGGTGTTTTTGCTGGACCATTACTGTGTACACAAAAAACAACATGCTGAAAACAGGTATCCTGAAAGGATAAAAACATAGAGCACTGGTTTTACAAAGAGACCTGAAGGAGCTGGGGTTGTTTAGCCTGGAGAAAAGGAGGCTCAGGGGTGACCTTGACTGCCAAAGGAAGTGTTGGAGGTACCGTCCCTGGAGGTACTTAAAAGACATGTAGATGTAGCACCTGGGGACATGGTTTAGTGGTGGGACTGGGCAGTGCTGGGGCAATGGTTGGTCTCAGTGACCTTATATAGGTCCTTTCCAACCTAAATGATCCTATGATTCTATTATAATGTGATGTGAATAGGAAGCTCCTCAGTCCTGTTCTTGCAGCAACTCTTCAGCTAAAATGAAACTTCTGAATCTTTGGATAGTCAAAAACCCTCTTCCATCCAGATTTCTCTCACCTGCCTTCAACCTTCCCCAGCCTAGCAAAGATGAAAGTTTTTTTCACTTAATTCAGCTGCAGTTTCTAAACCTGGACATCAACATTGGTAATACAAAAGAACAATTAAGAGTTTTGTCTTACTACAGACACACATTCCACTAACAGATTGAATATCGTTTTTTCCTCTGCAGATTTTAAAGTTGCAAGGAAGTTCTCCCACGCTAGTTACATCTGTTTAATATTCTGAAAAAGGACAGCCTCTAGAGTTGCAGCAGTCCATTGATAAAGTGTAGTACTTAAAGACTCCTTACCAATATAGCCTGCAACAAATGTGACTATCAGCTGTTCTCCTTTTGTACATTCATTTCGTGGCTTGGGAACAACATACTTGTAGAGAGCCTCAACAGTACGTTCAAAGCAGGCAAATTTCATCATTGTGTATGGAATCTGTCTCATCCATAGTGGAGCAACACCTTTATAGAAACTTAATCAGAGAAAAGACAAATTCAGTTTCATTTTCTTCAATATTTAAGGTACATTTTTAACTTGAAATAAATTAGCTTATTGTTGGTATTGAGAATACAACTTTTAGATACTGACACTGTACAGTTTAAGTGTGTCAATGCCTACAGAATAAAAATTTAAGTTGTATTAGTCCCTCAGTGCTAACTTAAAACAGCAACACAAATTAGAATTTTCCAGATCCCCAGGCTGCACAGCCGTTTCTGTGATCACTTTTCAGATTACAAAGCACCGCAGTAGTGTAGTTCTGATACTACCAGTGCAGTAAGGTTAATGTCTGCATACCAGCCAAGTCCTGATAGTGAGATGTGACCTGTATATCTACAGCCACTTCCATCAGAACAGAAAGCTAACATGCAGTTATATTGCTCTCACATGCCAATGACTCAAGCATCTTTGACTGTACAACCAGAAAGTTGCTGAGTATCTCTGACTGGAACTGCTAGAAACTGAAGTTATCCAGCAGAACTCAGCACAAAGATACTCACAAAGATGGATCTAAGGAGCATGTGGAACTAACAGCCAGTTCAGCACAGATGCCCTGAAGTATGTTATTATCTTGAAATACAAAGATCAAAAAGTATTATAAGCTAAAGCCACAATTAGTTATAACAACAGCTCTTCACAAGGAAAACAATACTCAACATCAAGAACCTGAATAAAAATTAAAATGAAGAGATACTTACGCCCAGATTCCTTCCTCTCCAAACATTTTGGGCAAAGCCTGCCGCAGAGTGTTGGCATATCCAGGCTGTGTCTGAATCCGAACTTTAGCAGCTTCCATTGGAGCCAGAGCAATGTCAGCAAAGAACTCAGCACTGGCAGATGCAGCTAAATACAGTGACGTACGCCACAAATAGGCATTTTCCTGAAGTGAATTTAAACACACATTTTTACTGATAGATCCTGCTTATTAATTACTTCGCATTACTAGGACTATTATGTTGCAGATACATAGCCTTACATAAACCATTTAAAGCTTACCTCTCCCAGCATGTTGCCGTACAGGACTTTGAAAACTTCATAGAAACCAAATTTACAAAGCCCTTGCATAGAATATCCAATGAAGGTTGGAGCCCATCCCTTTGCCAGGCCACGAACACCATCTTCATTGAGCGTCACTGAAAATCCATTGAAGATGCTCTTGTATTTTTGCGGATCAACCTGAAGAGAACAGGCAGTTAAATGCTTGATACAGCTTACCATTTCCCTTCTCAAACCCCCATCCAAAATTTAAAGTTCTTCAATCCCTCAGACAGTTGGCTTCCTGAAATTCCCTGGACAGATGATGTACTCACCACAAGGTTACACTAATGTAAATGTAGCGGTTACGTGTGAGTCTCAAATCCTGATTTGAGAGTCAGCGTGTTCCTCAATACTCAGGAACCACCAAACTGTCTGAATTTTGCTTTATGCTTATTCTCTGAGCTGACAATACAATTGTAATAAAAAGATTTACTGAAATCACTATTCTGACACTGTCAGTGGTATACCTATGCACACTCAAGTGTTGCCACAAACCAAGCCTGATGATTCACCTAATTCTTCATCAGAAAAGGCCATTTGCCCACTGTTAGTTTGATCCCTCCACAGTCAGACTAGGACAGATGGAGCAAAGTGGATCAAAGAGTACTCGAAAACTTTTACACCTGTACTCTGACTTCACAGTAATGGCTACATATGAATTGCTTTCTGCCCACAAAACTCTAACTGAGATTTAATTAACTTGTCAGAAATTTAAGAAGACTGACTTGAATAATTTTGTTTCATGTGAAAGGAAATATTTTAACAGAAATTCTTAAACAGGTCTAAGTCAGTCACATCACACTGTTACTTTTCATATTTGACATTATCCAACAGTTCCTCAGAGGAGAAGAAGGAAGATACCAAACCAGAAGTCGAACAAAGCTTTTGGAAAGAGCTATGGGACATGCATGCCAACCTGCACTGACTGGTATGTTGTCTTGAAGTCTGTCAACAACCTACCTGAGAACTAGTTCGCTTAAACACATCAATTTTAAAAAGTGTCAGAATTTCAGAAAATTGGCTATTTAATTGGGCACTGTATAATGAGACTGTTCAAATCAGAACTATGTTCAAGTCATGCTTAGTTATTAGCTACATAACAGGTGTCCTGGTTTCGGTTAAACCATGGCAAAGGTGACCTCTTCTTAAAAAGACATGAGAGGGCAGGCAACAGGTTTCTTCCTGGAGAACTTAGGAAGGATTAGTAACATGCTCTGTACTGGATCTGTAAAGAGATAAAGGCTGACAGGTTTTACAAGATCACACCTAGAATCCACATGGAAACCCCCTCCTGAACCTCCCTCTACATGCTGGACAGGGAAGGGGAAGCAACACCACCCTTACCATGTAAGAAACCCAGGACTGGTAGCCCAAGCCAAACATGTCTGATGTGTTACAGAATTACTAGACTGAGAACAGAATTTCAGGTGTTCTGAAGTGTATGCAAAATCCTCTCTGGTAAAGAATGCTAAATAAAGGCCATCCAGAAGAACATGATTTTAAAGAATATCACATGCAGTACTCCTAGTGTGACTAACAGGTCTGACTAATCCACAGTTCCCTCCGAATTTCAGGAGTTCTGTAATTACAAAATTGGCACTTTTATATTCAGTGTCAGCCCATGCAACAGGTGAGTCATTAACGGCTATATTTCCAGAAATTTAGGAGTGTGCTTTAATTTGCTCCATTCCTGCAGATTTGCTTAAGCAAATCCATTACCATGTTTTTAGTCACGGCTGTTCACTAGATGATTTTAATGCCTAAGCTGGTATCACAAACTAAGTGCAATATGACAACACTCAGTTCAAAGGAGAACCACTTCAAGGAAACTGGCCACAAGCACTGAAGGCCTTACTGATACCAAATCAAGTTATATCCATTCTATTCAAAGTGACTTCATTAGAAGATATCCAATCCATAAGCCATGCACTGATATCCACAGTGTTAATGGATCAAATTACACATGCACATCACTCCAGGCTAAAAAAACATAGATCTACAAGACAGCAAAGATGCTATTTCCTTATTTCAAAAGCACTGGAATAGTGTGTGCCTTTTAGCAAATATAGTCAATTAAACACGCCTTAAATGGCATTGAAAAGAATTCATCCAGATTATCCTGAATACCCTTGCTTCTCTTGCAAGTGGCAATTTGCAAGTCTCACAACAGCAGACTGATAAAGCAGCGTTCAAGTTTACTCATTTCCTGTCATCCACAAAAGACTGCATCCCTCCTGCAAACTCTTGATACACGGGCTATATAGGAAATAAAGTTTAAGAAATGTTTAAGTTTATACAAACCTGCATACGACATTTCACTAAATCCAGAGGTACAACACCAGTGTGTGTCAGGCCACAACTTAGGACCCCACCAACGCCACAGAGAGCATAAAACTTGGTCGAGCCATATTCACAACTGTATTCTGCAGCAAAAAATAAAGACACACCATGCTTTTACATAAACTCCATGCACTGCTGGACAACGATGCCCATGGTATAGTTTATACCTCCGGTTCATTAGTAGATTAAATATACCACACTGCACATGCTTTACCAATGTCATCACATACTGACATGCAGAACAAACCTGCATTCTGCATTTAACCAGGTCCAGAGGAACCAGTGCCGTATGTGTTGTTCCACAGCTAATAATCCCACCAAAGCCACAAAGCATAAAGAATCTGTTTGAGCCATATGCACAGCTGTAGTCTAGTTAATTGGAAAAAAAATTACATATGTATGATCAATCATAAATGGTAACAAAGATCAGAAAACTAGCAAAATAGACTGAGTGCTACTTTCTCAAAACTATTAAACAGAAATAATCTCCCATGCTGAACTACTCAAATACAGTGTTATAGTCAAAAATAATTCCCTTGCTTTAAATTAACACCTTTTGGACTGACAAGATTTGACTAAGCCTTCCAAATTGAATTTGTTCCTTTAAACAATCAATGGAATAAACAGTATAGGTTTAGCTCACAACACACAAACCATAGAAACTGACCCCAGAAGTTGCTAGGAAAAATGACTGCTCTAAGTTGCATTGTCCAACAATTTCTTATATTAAGGAATTAAGCAATAATAGTACTTCTCTAGTATTCAGGAGACAAAGCTTCTTTGGTTAAATATTCTATGATAGTGCATCTTCTCTATTTAGGTAGAGACTATAAAGATCTACAAGATCAGCACTGGAATTTTGTTTATGCACATACATCTTCAGGTACTTTTCAGATTCTTTATACAGGTATTTTTCTAAATTTTCTGTCAAATCCAGAATCTCAACTTTAAACAGCTTATTCAATGAAACTGCAGAATGTTATTTATCATCACACTGAATGCTGGTACACAAGGTTCATTGTAGAATCTTTCAGATCACATTTAACCAAGGGATGCTTCATATGCAGTACTCCACACAGTGTACATATTCTATAGAATCATCTAGTCTTAAAAGAATAAGTTATTAATTTTCACATAGTCCAATATGGCAAAGTGACTGGAGCTGAAAAAAAAATAAATCTGATTCCTTCCTTAATTTTTGAAGAAGCTACATAGGTTATCAGTAAATGCAACCAGAAAACACTCAAGTTTGCCATTAACAGCACAGAATAAGCACAAGGTAGTAACACAGATCTGCTACTATGCTTGGCATTTTAAAAAGATACGAAAAAGCAAAACTAATATACTGAATAGGCATATACAAAATACACTGTGTAGAAAATGTTCCCCAGAGTAGAAAAGCATAATCTTTTGCTACTGGATCTACAGTGTTACTTCAATATAATGGAACAGACATTGAACTATTACACCAGCTTAGTAAAAACTATCTCCAGAGAAAAACCGATGAAAACCAAAGGTCAGCAAAAACTGGTCTTATGCAGAGCTTCTTTGCCTTGTTTTTTTTTTTGGATTCTGAAATAAATTCCTTTATAAACATGAACAATAATTTACAAAGATGCTCAACAGCAGCAGCTAATTAGCAGTTAAGATGAGCAGGCTTATCCAGCTCATAACTTTGCTATGTTTTACATTACATTTTATATTCACATTCCTCACCTTACTCTTAAAAATTAATGAACAAAACAGAAAATTATTATTTTTCTTTATTCTAAAATAACAGATACCAAATCACAGACATGATAAGAAGCCTAAGGTTAAAGCTAGAAATCAGTTAACAGTCAGAACAATGTATTTTTAACTGAGATGCTGCTCAAGAGTGCCAATGTGCTGGTCTGGGACTTGGGCACAGCTCTAAAATAGCTTGGCTATGCTAGCAGGTTTGCAGACAGCAGTGACAGTCTGTTCACAACTTCCCAGAATGACTGGTTAAACACACAGATCAGGCTTTCTCTGCAGGTGTAATCAGAGAACAGGCTCTAGGTATTAAGGGGCAGCTCTGTCTAGCTGTATCTGTGACCTGCAGCACAAGAGCACTGCACTAGTTGCACTGCTGCCCAGATACAGAAATGTTTGTTCTCTCTCTCTTTTACAAAGAAATCTGCTGTCAGAAGTCATACTCCCCAACTGACAGACTTTTGTAGTAGCCAGAGGAGTAGAGCTGTATTTGTGTGCTGTATTACAATGCTATTTGTACTGACCTGTCAGCTCAGTGTTCATAGACTAATTAAGAAAGGCAAGCCAGTATCAATTAAGCCTGAGCTCTTTACAGGCACCTAAGTTCGTAGTGGTATAGTAGTATTAGGAAGAAAAGCCATAGTAGATCTCAGACTTTCTATTTCAGAAGTAGAGTCAAATTTCTTAAAAACCATTACTTCAGAAAAAAACCAGCTAACATGTAGTATTGAAGGCAAGAAAGACATTCAACCATACCTCAGTGCTGATTTAAGAAAACACCCTGAAGCTACTCAAATACAAACATAGCATAGAAATATGCCTACGCTGCTAGGACAGCTGCATAATTATTCCGTATCTCTGCTTTCAATCTGATACATTAACAAGGACAAATTCCAAGAGCTGATCATAAAACACTTTGTCTCTGAGCTGTGTTATGGTTGATGCCCTGAGCTGAACTCGTAAGGTCTTGTGGCTTGTGCTGACTTTGTGTGACCTTGTGAAAGTTCAGATATCTTCTGCAACGTGTTACTCACCCAACACAAAGGCCAAGGAACCAACTGGTACATGGAATAACAAACTCAGCAGAAAGACTACAAAGATTAAAACTCTCTGGCCACCTCTGACCACAAGTGCCTACAAACAGGATGAAGATTAAGCATAATGCTTTAAAGAAATAAGTGCACCTAATGAATATATTTAGCATACTGAAGGGTGATTTAGGGCTTTAGTTAGCTGGCAACAGGATTACTGTACTGAAAGCCAGAAATAATTTCTTGAAAACTTAATAAAATCTAACACTGAGTCGTCTCTCTTCACATGCTACCTGAATGTTCGTGCAAGTGCACTAAAATGCTTCCCTAAGCATGGTACTTCAGAAAAGGAAATTTGCTGCAAGCACTTGTTTTTTAAAATTAAAGCTGAGATATGCTTTTAAGTTATTAACAGGTTAAAATAATTAGAATTTTAATATCTACCTCCACTACTGTGCAGCCCTTCAGAAGGACCTCAACAGGTTGGAGAGATGGGCAAAGAACTGTCTGAGGTTCAACAAAAGCAAATGCAGGGTCCTGCACATGGGAAAGAACACTCCCCTCAACAGTACAGGCTAGGGCTGACCTGCTGAAAAGCAGCTCTGCGGGGAAGGACCTGGGGGTCCTGGTGGACAACAACCTGTCCATGATCCAGCAGTGTGCCCTTGTGGCTAAGAAGGCCAATGGCATGCTAAGGAGCATTAGGAAGAGTATTGCCAGCAAGTGGAGGGAGGTGATCCTGCCTCTCTACTCAGCCCTGGTGAGGCCACACTTGGAGTGCTGTGTCCAGTTCCGGGCTCCGCAGGGCAAGAGAGACTGGAGTACATCCAGTGTTGGGCAACAAAAATGATCAAGGGATTGGAGCATCTCTCTTATGAGGAAATGCTGAGGAACCTGGGTCTGCTCAGCCTCAGGAAGAGAAGAGACCTCATTACTGTACATAAGTGTTGAAGGGAGGGTGTCAAGAGGATGGAGCCAAGCTCTCCTCGGTGGTGCCAAACAGGACAAGAGGTAATGGGCAGAAACTGATGCACAGGAAGTTCTCCTTGAATATGAGGAAAAATTTCTTTACTGAGTCACTGAGCACTGGAACAGATTGTCCAGAGGGTGTGGATTGTCCCTCACTGGAGGTATTCAAGAACCATCTGGATGCAATTCTGTGCAACGTGCTCTAGGACGACCCTGACTGAGCAGGGAGGTTGGGCCAGATGACTCACTGTCCCTTCCAACCTGATCCATTCTCTGATTCTGTGATACTAGAAGTATCTTCAAGGTCTGACCTTTAGAAGTCATAAAAGTTATCAGAAAACACAGAGGAAGCACTAGTACTTAAATCCCAAATGCATTACTGTATTTCAAACAGCAGTTATCTCGTGAATGCCCCAAACTACTATAGAGACAAAAAAAAGCATAAAAAAACCCCCCAGCTGCAGGCACCCATAATGTAACTGGATGTTCCTACATGCAAATGTGAATAAACAGAAGGAAAAATAAGATGTAAAGGAATAAAGGACGAGAGAGAGGCTCTTTTGGATCCACACAGATTCACACACTCCTCTCCTCCACGGATGCAGAAAGCGCAAGCCTAGAACCTCAGCGCCCGAGGCTGCAGGCCCTGCGGCACCGGACAAAGCGCTGCTTCCCACGGAGACTCCGTGGGGGTCTCTGTGCTTACTCTGCCCCGGAGCCTTCCCGCGCCCTTTCCCGCTCACACCGGGTCCCTCCGC